TAGTCTCAACCTTACCACAACTGATACCACGCTTAGTATTACTATTTCACATCTCAAGGGTGCAGGAAGTGGTTGCTGTGCAGAAGAAATGAACAATAATATAAAAACTGTTTAGGTGACAGTTAAAGTAAGTGGTTGGATAGGCATGAAGGAGGATCAGAGGTGAAAAAGAGACCATTAAAGTCAGAAAAGTACATGTTGAGGGGGTCTGAGAATGAGGGTGAAGCTATAAGCAGAAAAGATAACAACTGGAACAAATCTTGCTTTGCAATGAAGCAAGAAGAAAAAAAAAGGAACACATTGTGGCTGAATTTATAGCCTGCCACTAAGTTAACAATAAATTGGCTGGGTTCACAAAACATGCTAAGTCCCAAAGAACTCTACTTGCAGCCAGTACACAACTCCAAGCTGGAGAAAGCTAAAGTAGAGGGGTTAGTGGGAGAGAGAATGAGCAAGAAATAAAATAGTTTGGGGTAAGACTCATCACAAAGATAAGAAGGGAGGAAACTCGTGTGTGGAAGAGGGGAGAAGGATCCTCGTGATTGGGAGACTGGAGGGAAAGAAATACAGGAGTCACTTGAGAAGGAATTGGGTATGTCTAATTTAATGAAGAGAAGGACGAGGGGGGGACATGATAGCAGTGTTCCAATATCTCAGGGGTTGCCATAAAGAAGAAGGAGTCAAGCTATTCTCCAAAGCTCCTGAGGGCAGGACAAGAAACAACCGATGGAAACTAATCAAGGAGAGAAGCAACCTAGAACTAAGGAGAAACTTCCTGACAGTGAGAACAATTAACCAGTGGAACAACCTGCCTCCAGAAGTGGTGAATGCTCCAACACTGGAAGTTTTTAAGAAGAGACTGGACAGCCATTTATCCGAAATGTTATAGGGTTTCCTGCCTGAGCAGGGGGTTGGACTAGATGACCTTCAAGGTCCCTTCCAACTTTACTATTATTATTATTATTATTATTATTATTATTATTATTATTATTATTATTATTATTATAAGGAGAGGTGGGCTACGATGGGACAGAGACGAGAGACCGCAGGGATGGGTGGCTGAAGCCAGAAGTCATTGTGAAAAGCGATGGTGGCTAAGGAGGTGGGGACATTGGGCCAAGGAGAAGAAAGGACCCGGGGGGGGGGGGAGCAGGAGGCAGCGGAGCCAGAGAGGGAGAGAAATGGCGAAGGAGGGTTTCTAGGATGCGGGCGAGGAGAGCGGCAATTAAGGTAGTAGAAAACGGAGGGATTAACTCAGGGTGGGCACGGGGAAGGTAAGAAGCGCCCGTGGGAAGCGAGGGGCGGATAAAGCGGGGCTCCGCTCCTTCCAAGCCCACCGCCCCTCCTTCCTTCCCTCGCTCTCTCTGCGGCCTGCATTCCTCTCCGCTTCCCACGCCCCCCTTGGCTCCCAGGTCGAGGCAGGATTAGCAGGCCGCGCCGGCGCCGGCGCCCCCCCCCCCCCCCGGCCTTCCCTTCCTCACCCTCTGTCGACTCCGAAGCCGGGGTCTCCCCGGGCTGGGCCATGACTGAGCCAGCTCGTCCCCGTCACGCCGAGGCCGGGTCCGCTACGTCAGGAGACGAAGCCGAACGCATCTTGACAGGCGGAGGGGGCGGGGAATCGGCGGCGGCGGCGGCGGGAAGGAGGGAGCGCGAGCGCCTACGCATGCGCCCGGTGGCGCCGAAGGCTGTTGCGGGGAGGCGGGGTACCGTGCTTTGGGAACGGAGCCTAGTGGGGAATAGAAGCTGCTGCAGCTCCCTGCTGTCAGGGTGATGGAAGTGGCTGCCAAGTTGGGGAAAACTGAATTAAAAAGCGGGGATGAAGATTCAGTGTCTCGTTGTTGTTGTTGTTGTTGTTGTTGTTGTTGTTGTTGTTGTTGTTGTTGTTGTTGTTGTTGTTGTTGTTGTTGTTGTTGTTATTATTAATAATAATAATAATAATAATAATAATAATAATAATAATAATAATAATAATAATAAACTGCTTCCATCCTGCGACGATATCTGTAATACCATCAAACATCCACATCTGCCTATCCCAGGTCCTGGGTAAGGACTCGATAGGTAGACAAAATGCCAAATCCAGTCTGAACATCTGGCTGACTGTGCGATGATCCATAATAATAATAATAATAATAATAATAATAATAATAATAATAATAATAATAATAATATAATTTTGGGGTCCTTGGGGTTAACTAAGAAAAATAAAGTGAATGTGATTGTTCTCAACCAGAGATATGTTTATCACAGATGGCAGTCAGAAATCTCAGTTGGAGTTGGAACATAGGAAATGAATAAATAAACAATGTGGGACCTAGATAAGTTGTCAAAAGGTTAATTAAAATAAATTCTGTAGAACAGTGGAACAGTCTACCTAGATACAAAGATTGCCTCTGAAATTTTGGAAGAAGACCCTGGATATCATCCCTGAGGACAGTTTGATTGACATTCCTGCACACTGCAGAATCTGGGCTAGATGATCCTTGTGATTCATTTCTACTCTGCAGTTCTGTGTTTTTATGATTTAACACCCTTCAAAAATAATAAGTACAATAACAGATTACCTGTAAACATATTCCTGTCCTTCATGGGTATTTTCCTATTATGGTGAGTGAGTAATTGGTGGGACTTAAAATATGAAAAACTGAGGACTGTTGGTCTAATTTACCCCTTATATTTGTCTTGTTCTTCTGAAACCATGGAAAATCAGGCTGACCTTGATGATTGGCCCCCAAATTTTAGAGATGCAGTTGAGGCCCCAGGGTCTCTAAAACAATCCAGGCAGCATCCTTAATTGAGTTCAATGAAGTTACCACAGATAAGTATATATCAGAGGTTAGCAGCAGCAAATCTGAACACATACGTCATACCAAACCAATGTAGGAAGACACCCCCCCAAGAAAGAAATATGTTGGGGAATATTAAAAAGGCAGAATATTATATTTCCCCAAAGGAACAATAGAAAATCTTAGGCAGAAACCACCCCCCAAGTCTCTCTGCCCCAAGAGAAACCAGCTCTGTAGAAATGCAGATTTGATCATCCTTTCAGAAAGACTGGAGCCAGGAAGCTTGGAGCTGATGGGATTAGAAAGACAAAGACCCCTAGAACCAACAACCCCTCACCCAAAAAATCCAACACAGGACATAGCAGGATATGACATTTAAGACATAATAGGGTTAACCCACCACCATTAGAATACCAGAAAGGCACACTGAACCTCAGGTCAAAGTTCATGCCACATGAACAGGAACAATTCCAAACACAAAAGCCCAAGAAGGTTAAAAAAAACCCACCACTCCCAGCTTCTTGTGGTCAGCTGTCCCAGAGCCATATTTCTGTCTGGTTCTGCAACTCAATAAACAAGAATCTTCTTTTCTAAAGCAGTCTCCATTTTGTTTATTCCTGGCTTGGACTGGACCCTGATGAAGATTTTTCTTTCAACACCACCTTGCACAAATGCTTAGATAAAGATAGATATGAGTTTGCGGTTGTATAGTTAAGGAAGGCAACCCTGAAATGTTGGCATCCTAGCTAGTAAATTCTTTATTTTGTATTGATGGTTAAACATGCCTCCCGTCACAAGGATGAGATGGAGAGAAAAATTTAAGAAAGGATGGTTGGGATTCAGTAAGGCTGAACATCATGTTCTTAAATGCAATAGAAGTCTAATTATAAATTGAAAAATATAGATACCTTATCTGTTTTCTCTGCTTGCAGATGTCACAGTAATTTGAATTATATTATCAACATAGAAATGCTATTGTTATTTTAGAAGCAAAAAGATTATGAGTAGTTGGCTTGCATGCATAAACATAGATCCATTGCATTATTTGTAACAGTACGTTATTCTGCAAATTTGGTATGGAAAATTTATCTTTCTGAGGAGTAATCCCAAGTGATCTCTAAGACAGCAGATAGGTCCTTGTTATTGCATGCACTGTAGTGCCAAGAGGAAAAAATGATTTAGTGTAATTTTTATTTTAATGCAATACTATTAATATATCTGCTCCATGTGTATTTACTTATTTTTCTCCTCCTAGCATATTAAAATTGTGATTTAGATGGCAACGCCTGAAGTGGTTTTATGGACATTATCCAGGATTTTTTGAGGGCTGTCTACACCCCTGAGATCTCACGTGAAAGACTATTTCTGTAAAGTAGGATATAGAGGAATGTGTTTGGAGAACAGCTTAAAACATGAGTATACCTGGACATTGGTATGAGCTAAAGTTTGAGCTTATTATGTAAGCCATAAAGGTGGTGAAGCAGAATCACCTTCCATACTTTTACTCCATTGGCAAAATGTTGACCAACTGCATTATTTAAGGTGTCCCAGATCTTTTATATAAGGATTAGCCAGAAGAAGAAACAAGCTATTATAGTCTTGGTAAAATAGTTCTTATCTGGTCCAAGCTGGAAACTAGATAGATGAACTCTATTGAGTTGAGATATCATTGAAAAATTTTTAGTTGTAGATCTCAAGAAAGAGGACCAAGTTCTCTATAGTGTTGCTCTGCCATTTGTGCGTTGAGTCCCTGCCCTCCCTGGGAAGAGATTAAAAGTTGGATCCAGGTTGTAGTCAGTGCTTCTCTGAAGGAAGAGGACATTCCAGCCATTCCTCAAGAAGGCTGGCCTGGATCCCATGGAAAGAACAACTTTCATCTTATATACACCCACCTTTTCTTGAAGAGGCTTTGGAGAAAGTGGTAGGGCTCTACCAGTTTGAATTCAGGCCTGACCATGAGTAATAGTTACATAGATTACTTATCTTAGTAAGATGTGAAAGGAGGAAGCATTACATCTTGTGCTCCTTAGCAGTTTTTGATAATGTCAGCCAGTGTTTTTCTGGTTGGTTCCAACCAACCTCCACATTCTTTTCATTCATTCCATTTGAAGATTAGTGTTATATTTTTATCACAATCCAGTACTTCTTGCTGGTACCGAGCCCAAGAAACATGTTCTTTTTCCTCTTTGTATCCACCATGCTTGAAATCTAGAGCTAATATCTATGAATTTTCTGACCTCAGTTGTGTTAATCTTAGTTTAAGAAATTAATTTTTAGGGTTTACATAACACACTGAACTATTAGCTTGTAAAGACATAAGCTAGGTTCTCTCAATGTGCAAGATAAAATGTAGTTGGCTAGCTTGTAAATCAGTGTTATCATATAAACACAGATCCCTTCTACAAATTATGAGAATTTCATCTGCATTTCTACAAGGAACACAAATTCCGTTGAATTTTTTTTTCCATTTCCAATTCAGTCAAAGGAATTGTATCAGATCTTTAGGGTCTCCCATATCTGAATGTTAACCTGGCAAGCCTGTTTTCTAAAATGCGAACTTGGGCATAGTTTTATTGTTGTTGTGCTGGTAATTCCGGATTCCTCAAGGATTGTACAGTGCAGTTTTTCAACAAAGGTTTGAATAAAACAAGTCTGTCAATTTACAACTTTGGAACTGTATCCTACAAATGCCCCAAAACAATGTCAGCTCTTTTTTATCTCCTACTCTAATGAAATCAGAAATAAAAATGATGCATGTACATTGCTAAGCAAAGACATATTTATTAGCATCTTTCTTATTAATACTATTTTGTTCTGGAAACTTAGGTAAGCCGCAGGATTCTCATGAGAGGCTAGTGTATACCTTTTAAACTGCCAAGGATCATTCCAGCAACACCTCCATAAATTTGGTTTTCATCCTGAAACAATAGTTTGCTTGCAATCATAAATTATCTTAACCTATCCTGCCTCCCAGATATTTTATGTGATTGAAAATCTTTGCAAAAAACATTTAGAGGAGATGTAATTTCCCTCCTCTTGTCTAAAAGGTTCCATGTGGATGCATGTTCTGAATAGATGGAAAGCAGATGAGACACCTCCCCAAATGCTGAAAACAAATGTACTAGTAGTTAATGTTCCTTGCATTGACTATAAGTTAAAATAGATTCAAAACTCATGATCTCATTTGAAAGCTGTCTGTATTAAGAGTCTGAAAGCACTCTTTCATTCCTCTGTAAGAAGTGTTCACCGAAGACTTTGATATTTCATGAACCTGAAAATTTTGTTTCTTCCTGCAAAAAATATTGATAGAAACTAATTATTGAAAAATAATAGCACTCAAATGTTAGGTTAGGTTGGAGAAGCATTTGTGGTGAAATTCCCATGTTAGCAAAATCTGCTAGTACACCATGAGAAATTAATCAAAACTAAAAAAAAAAAAGCTATGTTTAATAGTACATAGACTAAAAAAGGAATCTGTTCTTATCTCAGTGATTTACTTCTCTGGATTTGTCTTTTTCCAGCTAGTGGTTATTTCTGAAATGGCAGTGAATGGAAATGGAAAATTCCTTCTCTCCCCAATGCTGTACAGGCATAAGAGAACTGTGAAAAGAACCTACTGATTGCAGTATGGCAAGAGCAGTTTTTGAAATTTGCCCCTTTGCAGTAAGGACACATGGAGTCAAAACATTACTATATGTTGTATAAACAGTAGAAACAGAGAACCCACATTCCCATACTTAACAATGAGTTCTTTTCTTCCAGGCAGCTTATTAAAAAAATATTTA